TGGTATTTAAACTTGATATGGCTCTGGCTTTGATTAGTCCTGTTTTCAAGCTGATTGTCCTGCCTGTAGCAATTTTGCAGTCATATTATAAAAGGTGGGTTTCTTCAACTCCAATTTGGAATCATGGACCCTCAACTTTACTAGCACTAAGTCTGTATCCTAGGCCAGCCCTCCTTGTCAGACACAGTTCGAAATGGAGTTCCTTATCCAGTCTATGTCCGCCAGTGGAATCCACAAATTCCTAATGCATCTCTGTGTGAATTGCTCCTCTGTTCCACCACTGCCTGTTGGTGGTGTGCACATATGTGAGCCATTGCAGAGAACAGAGGGGCGATTCAGATGCTGGGAACATTTTTAGAATAATGATACTCAGTGGAATTTCACATAGACTTCCATTTTAATTTATGAGTATGGGTCACCTTTGTCAAATAAAGCATGTATTTATAATATTCAAACATTTAAAGCTTTTGGAAAATGTTTAACTCTGGGTTTTAGGTTTATGCTTCTGCTTAGTGTTTACATAATTTAAGTTTTGACAATGGAAAAACTAGAATGGGAAGAGAAACAATCTAACTGTACACTAAACAGTGCCGAGGTAGTTGGAAAATGGACAGTATTGAAGACCGAGCATCTGTAGATCAGGACAAGTCATTCTACCTGCTCTGATTTATTCATGCACTTAGTTTTTCATTCATTCATCCATATTTATAGACTCCCTCTCACACTCAACACAATATAGTATCAACACTGTTTATATTGTAAAGGGGCAAGTTGCTCAACCTCTCTGGCTCTTGATTTCCTTATCTGTAAAATAAGAGAGTTGTTAAAAATGCCATGAGCTTCTGGAAATATTTAGGTAATATATAATATTTAGGTAGTATACAATCATGATAACAACAATAACAACCCAACAAGCTGTTTCTGCCCAGACTTTATTCCAACCACTTTATGGTTAAAAGGTCCCTTGAGGGCTCCAAAGCCAGCTTAAAGTTCCTCTTTGCAAGAATTGGCCTAAGCTCTACTGCCACAAAGCCTTGAGGAAGGCCTTGGCTTTCTCTGTGATGAAGTAGATCACTGATGGCGGCTGAAAGAGCTGGGAGAGGTGCCTGGCAAGATGCTCCTGCCCTTCTGGAGCTCAGGAGAGCCACTCCTTGTAGTTCTCTTCCAGGAGGCCAAGAATAAACTCTCACCCTCAGAGATGTCAGTGAATCAGCCCTGGGATGATTCACTAGCCTATGGGGGTGAAACTACAGAAGCAAAGAATTATCTGGGCTTCTCAAAGGGAGATAAGATTTATATAATGATGGTCCCCAAATCACAAAGGGTCCTTCTAATCTTTCTGGGCCCAGTAGAGAAATGGCAGCAGTGTTAGGAAGAATCTTTGAGCTTGCCCTCCCCATCGTCGTGCAGACAATTTGGGTCTAGGGTTCAGGGAACTGGATGAGCATTTCCAACTTAGCAAAAAACCCCTGAATTGTCAGTTCCTCTTTCTGGCATGTTTCCAAAGTAGATTTTAGGGACCTCCCTGGTGGTCCAGTGGTTAAGACTCCAAGCTTCCCCTGCAGGGGGCATGGGTTGCATCCCTGGTCAGGGAACTAAGATACTGCATGCCCTGCGGTGCGGCCAAAAAACTAAAAAAAAAAAAAAAAGATTTTAAAACTGTATCTACTATCTCCTTGGAAATTGTAATTTTTACAAGAATTTTAGAAAGCTCTCAGAAGCCCTTGTCAAAATTTGGATTACATTCATTCAAGGGAAGTGTATAGAGGAGTACTGTAACCCCTGATGTCATAATGGAATTCTTCCACTTGGAAAAAAGCCATGGAGTGCCACAAGGGTGCAAGATGTCAGGGGCTGTTTTTTATATGTTTTGAAACATAGAAGCTTTGATTCTAATGTCTGTGTCAAATGCTAAACACATGTGACCTTAACTAAATATCGCAAAATCCACCATAAATTAATCGTCAACCTTAACGGTTTCCTCATTTCAAAACACATTTGTTTTGTAAGTTAATGCCCTAAGGCCAATATTTTAAGGTGACAACACAGAATCTAAATAAGAAACATGTCTGATATATATGTCTATACAATTACACACATGTGTGTGCATGCACACAAACCCACACATTTCCATGCACTTACAATTTCTCTGCCATTTTAAGAAAAAATGGAAGGAGGGGAATTTTGCACACATTTGAGTCCTGTGCTTTTGCTACCATTGGCAACCTTAGGTTTTTTGAGAGTCTCACCTCCACTTTACCAAGTCAAAAGGACAAAGTTAAGTGGAATTAGACTTTTCCAAATATTTCCCTTTCTTTACCAGCTTCTGTTGGGCTGTGTGTGCTTGTGTGTGTGTCCAAAAGTTTTCTTCAGGAAAAAAAAATGAAAAAGGGCCTGTAAAGTCTCTAAGCCTTCTATAAAAGAAGAGAGGTGATTTTGAAAGTTATTAAAAACTGGTGTTTGGTTTTGGAATTTCCTTTATTTTCAAGTTCATGATCCACAGGTTCTTTGATTCTAAGACTAGCTTGCACTCTTGGCATCTCCTTCCAGAGCTAGAGAGGGCCAGGGTAATGCATTTTCCCAGCATCCACAGGAAGGGGTGACAGAGAGAAGGAGAAGGCAGCGGGCTGGAGGCAGGTCCTCACTTGTGTTCCCATCTCCCCTCAGTAGACGTGAGCTGGAGGCTACTGCTTCCACTCAGCCTCCTGTGTGAGTTAGCAGAGGGAATATGAGTTTCGCTTAAGACATCTTCTGGCAACATGCTGACTGTTAACAACAACAGAAAATAGGCAGGATAAAATTTTGAAAGAAAATTTTTTTTTTCCTGTGATTTTTCCCCTTAAAATGTGTATGAAAAAAATACAAGGGACTTTTAGAGGGAAATGATAAATGAACTCATTTAGTAAATGTTTAGTCTGCCTGTTAAATAACCTGACATGGTGGAACATGCACAGGAGTCAAATTTTTAAGTGCTCACTCTCTGTGCTTAAGTGCCCATCTTTATTATTACTGCTAAATGTAAAGCAGTAATGCAATGGTATAATTTAATATAATACAATGTATACTTATATAAAATATTTATAATAATCTACTCCATGGAAATGTAAATGGTTACATGCTTCCATTGGAATACAAATGCGTTCCAGTATATTTAACACAGGCCTTCTTTTGAATAGGAATAAGCTTCTAGTTCCATAACTAAAGGAATATTTAGTGTAAAAACAGAAGTTTTTACCAGTGTTTTGCTCAGCAGAAAGTAATGCGGTTTACATATTGAAGTTCCTCTTTCTATTTTTAAATTTTAACATTTTGACAGACACTTTGCCTTAAAGATAAAAGAATATTTCAATACCCCAATTCAAATGAGGATCAGATTCAGTCCTGAGTCAGACAAGCCAGAACCTTGACAAAAGCTCCTATAGGGTGTCTGTCCTCAGCACAGCCTACTCAGCACTTTTAGACCCCTCTCCCTGACCTTCCTGATTACCCTAACACGCCAGAGTTGGGCAGGAATCAAGATCTCCTTTAGAGATGAATTGAGTGCAATGGGTCTCCAGTCTTTCATTCTACCTGGGAGAGGCCAAAAGGGTACTTGCCCCACTGTACAGAAGCAGTATCAAGGTGTCAACACTCCCAAGTGCTGGGGCAGAGGCCAAAAACTCAAGACAAAAAGTTGACATCAGGCACTTACAACGTCTTTCTCTAATGACCTGGAAGCATTTGAAAAACTAAGTGAGTAGGTATATTTCTAAGGAGAATTTCACTCTGTTGGGTAACACTGATTATTCATTTTCCATTCATTCAACATGTCATAGAGTTCCTACTGGGTAGCACATTTAGTTCTGGTACCAAGAATTTAGTACGACAAAGAGCCGGCCTGCAGGAAAATTTATACTCTTGTGAAGTATGCAGAGCAGTAGATAAGCAAGATGATTTCAGAATCATCTGGGGGACGTGACAGTGATGGGGGTGGGGAGAGAGGATTGCCTTTTGTATGGCGGGCAGGGAGACAAGATTTGAGACCTGAAGAAGGAGCTCTCCTGACAAAGCCGAGGTCTGGAAGCAGGAACGAGCTGAAGGAGGGCAGGCCAGTGTGGCTGGAGGTGGGCAGCAAGGGAGCAAGGGGCGGGAGTGGCAGCCAAGTTGTGAAGGGCCCCGGAGGCCGTGGAAAATGCTTGGAGTTTGTTCTCTGTACAAAGAGAAGCCATTAGAGAGTTTTTTTGAGAAGGAAAGGGATGTGATCTGATTTATGGTTTTAAAAGATCAATTTGCCTGCTAGGTAATAGAAGGGCCGTGGTGGAAGAGGGAAGACCAGTGAAGAGGTTTGAATAGCCCAGGTGAGAGATAATGGTGGGCTGCCTGATGGAAGCAGCAGGAGAAAAGCAGCCAGAAGCAAGATATATTTTGAAGGTAGAACTGATGGGATTTACCATAGGCCTACACGGGGAGGGAAGAGAGGGAAAGGAAGGACCAAGAATGACTCAGGTATCATGGCATGAGCAAAGGGTGCTTGGTAGCACCATTTCCAGGCTTATGGAGTGAAAATCAAAGGCTTTATTTTGGATGTTAGGTTAGAGTTGTCTGTGAGAAATCTAAGAGGAGATGTATGGTAAGAAACTAGATGTGTGAAAGCAGGGCTTAGAGGAGGGAAGATAGAAACTTGGAGGCCATCAGTGTGCAGGTAGTAGTTAAAGCCGTGGTATTGAATGAGAGCACTTACGCAGGGGCATGGCCAGGGAGGGGAGGGATCTGAACCAAAGTCTGTTCTTGGTACAGGAAGACAAGGCAGCAAAGGAATGTGAGGGTTGCTGCCAAAAACCATAAAGTTAATCTACATGTTCAAGTGAGTACAAGGTCCAGGTAGTCCATAGATGAGGAAAAATAACTTGATCAATTCTGTAGATGCTTCTCCTCTTCTGTCATGTCTGATAAAGATTTTCACCTTTACCAAACTAAAGGTACATTTTTAAAAGCTACTGTTACCTACTTTAAAGTCTTACCTTTGCTCCAGTGTCTCCCGCTCTATGTAAAACCCTTGGTCCAGGGGGTCCTGGTAATCCTCGAGGGCCCTGAGATGACATAATAAGGGAGAGAGGGAGTAACCTTGGAGCAACCTTGTTGTGTGCAGTGTTCAGGAAGGAAGGAAGGAAGGGATGAAAGGAAAGGAAAGGAAGGAGGGAGAAAGAAAAAAAGAAAAGGGAGGAAGGGACAGAGAGAGGGAGGAAAGGAGAGGGAGGGATGAAAGGAAGGGAAGGAAAGGGAAGGGAGGAAGGAGGAAAGGAGGGAGAGAGGAAGGAAGGAAATAAAAGCAATGTCCACACTTACAGCCACACCAGGATAGCTGTCACCTTTGAATCCTGGAGCACCCACTGGTCCCCGAGGGCCTTGGGCACCCTGGGTAAATTCCAACACCGGGAGATATCTTAAGACTAAACTATGAAACACCTGGCAAAACTTAAGCACAAAACCAACTCAACATGCCAGAGGTGGATTTGATAAGTGCAAAGGAATGGTTTGAAAAATTTTAGAAGGAAATATGGCAACTCCTTATCGCCTCATAATTCCTACCCAGATAATGAGTGTAGGAAATATATATGAACCATTACAAGGTCCTCTATAGGAAACACACTTCATGGGCATTAGAAAAGGGCTAGTTGCTGATATTTTAATTATAAAAATTACCAATTTTTAATGCATCATAAATCAGGAAGTATAAAAAGAAAATTGAGTAAGCATCATGTGAGAAGAATAGAGAAGAATATGCAGTAAAAGTATAAAATAAGATACTCTAGGTTACCTATTATTATGTTACATGTATTATCTTCCTCAGTGGGGCCCAAATTAGGTGAGGAATAAATAAGCTCAAATAAAAATTAAAAACAGATTAATTTTTAAAAAACACTTTATAAAAGAATAGGACATAGAGTTTGCGTTTCATATCCTGAGACCTAGGAAAAAGTTATAAATACTGCTTTACCACGATGACCTTGGGCATCAAAAACTTTCAGTAGCAACTACTGACCTCCTATATAGAGGATAGGGAAGGAGAATTGTTGCCTTTTGAACATTAGAGTTCTCTGTACAAATAGAACTCAGAGAAATTTCTGGCTAAATTAAAATGGAGAAAAAGAAAAAAAAGAGGAAGACACTTACCAGAGAAGAGTTATTAATTGTAAGTCTACTACACTTATATTTAAAACATTTCTATTTATACCACATTCCGTTCTGTTGCTGTGATAACTCTTACAATGGCCCTTGTCAGTACACGTCAATTATTTTGATAAAGAGTTGTTCATGTTTTTAAATATTTATGTTTTTCCACATTAGGAGGAAACTCTACTAATAGACCTTTGTTTTCCAAGATTGGAAGAAGTATCAGGATTCTTAATATTTGTGTTATATGCAAGCAAACACTGAAATCAAACTGCCATTATTCCAAGCCAAAGTGTTGCCCAAAATCTAACTCCCCAAAACTGCTCCTGATTCTACTCCTATGAATGAATGATAGGGAAAAAAAATTCTTCAAGCCATTTAAGCAATAAGAAAGTTAAATTGATTTTGAAAATCATGAATGCAATAGCTGTTATTTCCTATTAAAACAAAAAGACTGGCTTTATGTGGTTAACGTTCTTAAGAATGATCTTCAGAAGATATGTGGCCACTTATAAATACTTAAGGTACTATTTATCATCAACAAAAACCCAAGGTGATCTCTTAAAGTTGTATGACAGAGAAAAAACAAATTGTTCTGGAGAGGTGAATTTTGGTATATTCCCCACTAAGGAACTGGTAGCTTCTCAGAAGCAATTTATTATCCTATTCCAATTATGTTCAAGGTTAAAATGCTAAACATTTTCTATGGGACAGGTCCTAAAATAAGATGCCCATTTCTCTGCATGCTTACATAAGGAGCAGGCCAGCAACAAAACAAAGCAGTAACTGCTCCCTGGTTAAGTTGAAAGGAAAAAAATTGGTAACAAAATGCACTTTCAGTTTTCATTTCTAAGTTCCAAGCCTATAACACATTATCAGCAGCTGTTATTGTTTATCCTCTGGCACCCAGAGTGGGGGGAAAGCCATTGAAACATTCATAGTTTTTGAACATTTTTTTTCCTGGGGATCTTTGTCCTCTCTCCTACAAAAATTTCAGTTAGTTTGTTACTTCTAATGCTAATGGGGGTGGGGAAAGGGCAGTGTTCTTGCTTGGATTTTTATTTTGGATGCCTCACAGTATTTCTATGGATGGAATTTTGCCACTTGGTCTTTCTGCACTGGATTCAAGAAAATGTCTTGCAGAGTGATTCACAAGTGTCTCTCTCATTCAACAGAAATTAGGGTAGAAATCTTAATCAGGTGTTTCGAAATGGGCTTTCAAAAAAATCTGGGAGGTCCCTGAAGTGATACACAAAACTGAATTTAACGTGCGAAAACTTTTATCAGACATTTAACCCTCCAAGAGCTTAAAAACCAATGCATTAGGGAAAAATGGCAGAAAGAGTATCATTAGAGGCCAAGGGATTATAAAATTGATTGAAGAGGCAAATAACTAAATACTGTCACCAACGATGCCTAATAATGATCAGTAGAAAACAGGTGGAGCTTTTAAACCCCGGCTGCACATTTAATTAGATTTTATTTCTATCATAAAGAATAGTATAAGTAGAGAGAAGTAACTTTAAATCACGGACCTAGGAATACACAGATTCAGGAAGTTATCAAACAATATGAAAAATGTCACCCAAATGTTCTTGATTGAGGTCATATCTATAGTTTTAGCATTAGGAAATTTGGAATTTTTTCCTTGAGTCATACATGATTTGGTTTTCCATAGAATTTTTACATATCTTAGGTACCTATGTGCCTCAGAGTCTGGGCAGTAGGATGACCATCTTGTTCTGGTTTGCCCAGGATATTCTCTGTTTTAGCTTGAAAATGCCACATCCCGGAAACTTCTGTCTCAAGCCAGAAGATTATCACTCTAGGAAGGAGGACTCTTAAAGTGATTAAGAACAGCAGAGGTCAGGATCTTACCTCATCCTTCAAAAAGAACCACTCCAACTTATGTCAGTATATAATAGGTTTTGCATTATATTTCAAAGATGGTTCTAAGTTTTCTTTTTTGAAGTTTGAAAATCACTGACGTTAGTACTTGAACCCTTTCATCTAGAAGAGACAATCTGATAAACTAAAGCCAGCTTCAAAGCTACATAACAACATGCTACTAATTTAATAAGTGCTGATTATGGAGCCCTAAAGCCTGTTCTCACAAACAGGGATGTGCTTGTTGACATTTGGAATGTAGAATTTTGCTTGATGCTGGGTTTTATGTGAGGAGGGAAATGGTACTTTGTTGCCATGGGAAAAAAGTGTTGATCACTAAAAGCTGTCTTCTCCTATAATTATCTGCATTTTCATTTGAAATAACTCTGAAAGATGGACAACAAATCAGGGAAATCTGATTCAGTAAAATTTCCAAACATGAACTTTTTGGACAATGTTTTATAGAAGAGATACATTGGCCATTAATATGTAAATGAAGGAGGCTAGAGGCCATATAATCTCATATCAAAGATATTACAAAAAGCATTTTCAATCAACTGTTTAGTCAGCAAATGTTTTACCAGAGGAGCTATCCTCCCCCACATTTATGAAAAATAAATGATCTGCTAGCTTGATTTTTTAAAAAGGGAATAGTGTATTCTTACATTTCAGTTCATCAACGTACAGACTTCAAGTAGAACAATCACAGTCATCAACTTATGATGCAATAAATCTACTTTCACTTCTCTCACATACAGGAAAAAAAAACCCAAAAACGAAAGAACATGAATAAAGGATACCTTTGCTGCTCGAATAGCAATTCCAGGTTCTCCTTCAAATCCAGGAAACCCAGGTCCTCCTCTATCTCCCTGTACATTTCAAATAATGTTCACAGTTTCAGGCTTTAGATTTTATGAGAAACCATAATGGCACAGAGCAAAAAAGCCATTGGCCAATTATAAAGGACTTCATCTATTAGAATCAGATCCTGAGAGAGTCCATCTTCTAATGTGTTTGAGGGGAGTTTCAAATCTTAAGCAAATAAAAGTTGTCAGTAGAGACTACTAAGCTGTTCAGAGAAAGGCCACTGAAAATAATAGGTGGCTCTCTAGATTCAAATATTTAGACTGTGAAAACGTCCAGGAATGCTCTTACATCTGAGTGGATTTCTTTTCTGCCAGACTTTCTGATCAGCAGATTATTCTGAACAAATGCAGTAAATTCTTACATGCTTTAGGGTCTAGGATTTAAGGGAGGTAGTTCAAGGCAAACTGACAAGTTCAAGACCAGGAGCAAGAAATCTGGTTTCTAATCTTAAATTTGCTGCTGGCCTTTCATCTGCTTAGTTGTGAAATATCAGGGCTGAGCTATATGATATCTTTGGGTTCTTCCAAAACTGAAATTCTAGTTCACTGTTTTCATGAATCTTTTCCCCACTCCAACTGCCAAAGACCAAAGCAAAAGAAAAAAACTATTCCTGAGAATGCATACCTTTGGCCCAGGTGGTCCAGGAATTGATGTTCCAGGCATCCCAAAAGGGCTCATAATCCCTGGATCACCCTAAAAAAAGAGCAAAATACTCATTACATGTCAAACAAGGCAACCATATACAGGAATTATATTTAAAAATATAAAAGTGTATTTCTAGCATTTTAAAGTATTGTGACCTGTTTCACAGACCAACGTGAAAATATTTGAACATCTTTGTTAAACCACTACTAAAGTTATTGATGGTTACAATTTCACTCCCTTTAATAAATGCATTCAGTTAATTCCTGAGTAATAGGAAATTTCTCTCATGCATCCTTTTATTAGCTAATAAAAATCATGCAATTCATGGTGATTCACTTTTGTGTTTGTATGCCAGGAAGCTCAGAAGGAAATATTTGTTCCATTATAACAAATACCTTTAGTGTAAGCTTTTGAGTACACTTGGTAGGTAAATAATATTCCTTCTAGTTTACAACTTTTTCCTTTGTTATTTTATTTTATGGTCCACAGTATATCAGTCTTCCATTGTGTGGTATCTCACATCCCTTATTAAAAGTAGAGCGTTTATGGTTTAAAAAATGAAATTTTGAACAGAAAAATTAAAACATTTCTCTCTCTCTTTTTTTTTTTGTCTCAGTCTGAGTCTCAATAAAGACTCATTCTGGAACAGCAAGCAATGTCTCTGTCCTACCTGGCTCTAGATCAGTGATTTTCAAATTTTAGGAAACAGAGAAATCATTAGAGAAATCTGGTAAAATATAGGGTCCAGGATTTCAGCCCTGGAGATTTTGTTTCAATAGGTCTAGGGGCTGGGCCCAGGAATATGAATATTTATGAGACACCTCTGGTGATTCTGATATAAGTACCACTACTGCACTTTAAAACACTGTGCAAAGCAATTGTCTTTATTTTTTTAACTTATTGAAATATGTTTGATTTATAATGTTGCATTAATTTCTACTGTACAGCACCTATATAACAATCATTTAAAAATGGTTTTCACATTTTTGAATGATTATTAAATAGGTGCCCACATAATATCCTCAATTTTGCTTCTTGGCCCAAAAAGCCTAAAATATTTGCTCACTGTACCTTTACCAAAAAATTGGCCTCCTCCTGCCTTACAGAATTGACTATTTGGTCCTCCTGCTTCCTACAGGAGGAACTCTATCAATCAGACTCACTGGTGATGACTCCTGCCCTGAGCCACCTCCATCTTCACAGCTGAGGCCTCCCACTGTGCTGATTCCATTATACGACCAACAGGCTGAGCACACTGGCTGCTGGGGCCAAGTGACGCTGAGGCCTGTATGTGCCAGTCCTTAATTCCAAACCTGTATGGCAATGGCACAGTACATGGCCAGGGTTCTGGCAACAGATAACCACCCTATTCAATCCCATGGCAAAGGGATAAAACATTAACCTGTTAAAATATTCACTAAAACCAGATGAAGCAAAATTATGCTTCTAGATTTAATCTATTCTTTTTTAAAGAGAAGCCAATTACTTTTAAATACAAAATTGTATACATAGAAAGTATGCATTTCTTTTAAAGACCCTTATTTAGGTGTATGTTTTGAAATATGGCAATTCTTTTTTTTTAAATTTTGAAATATGGCAATTCTTTATCAGAAAAAACTTTCTTTCAAAATACAGAAAAATATTCACGTTGAGTCAGCGTAACTAAGACACAGAGTAATCACTGTTGTTAATACTAATCCAACGCATTTCCAATATTCTCTCCTGCTTAGTCAGGACACGTATCTAATTTCTTGCTTCACAATTTCCTTACTTCGTCCTCAGCGCCCTGTCTCGGGCAGTTTGTCAGGACCCGTATGCCCTACTTTCCATTTCACATATTGATTTTTTCCTGTCTGAATAACTCCATGTATTGAACACTTACGATGTGCTCCTTGAACTACCTGCGGCAGAAGGCACTTATTTAGGAAATGCAGATTCTTGGGACCCACCCACATACTAAATCCAGATCTCTAGGCATGGCACCAAGAAATAGGGGTTTGTAACAAGTTCCCAGGCAATACTAATGACACGGAAGTTTAAGAATTACTGGTCTATAGGGGATGCCATTTTTTTTTGTACCTGCTCGTATCTTGCTGGTACCCTTTTTTTTTTTTTTTAGTTGTTCTTTAATAGTCTGGTCCTTGAACAGACTCCCTGTCTCTTTCTTACAATTAGCATCTTCCTAGAGCCCTGAACACATCCAGATGACCTCAATGTTCTCTCCTGCTTAGTCAGGACACGTATCTAATTTCTTGCTTCACAATTTCCTTACTTCGTCCTCAGCGCCCTGTCTCGGGCAGTTTGTCAGGACCCGTATGCCCTACTTTCCATTTCACATATTGATTTTTTCCTGTCTGAATAACTCCATGTATTGAACACTTACGATGTGCCAGGAGCCATGCTGAGTTCTTTATTCACTCTTTTAGGTCTTCACAACAACCCTGTGAAATAGACACTATTACTCTTTTCCTTCTATGATTGAAGTTGACTGGCCCCCAAAAGTTCCGGGCTGGGGCAGGACAAGAACCCCACTCTCCTACCTTCTGAAGCACTGCTCTTCATCCTTTACTGCATTGCCGCTCAGTCTGGGACTTTTTTGTTCTTATTCTGCAAAACAAGATGATAGAGAATTGATACCTTCTATGGTCCTAACTTTATCCCAGCTACCGAATATTTTGCTCTTACTAGAGAGGACTGACACACAGATTCTCTCCTAGCAGAATAAATATTTCAGTGAAGATCACATGTTTTATGCAATCTCTTTATTCCATTCTATTATGGTTTGAAATAGTGTGGTTTCTAAAGCCTTTATCATTTGGGGGCTTTTGTTTTGTATTTGTTGAGAGGAAAGCAGTGGAAATCTAATATTCCATTAAAACCAGGCACAATTACAATCTCCCCAAAGCGTAAATGAGAATATAAGAAACATACCTTTGGTCCTTCGGGCCCTGGAAATCCCTTGTCCTTGATTTCCTTTGCTCCCTTTCTTTCCTCCATCACCCTGACAAAAATTATAATAAAAACATAGTTGTTCTATTAACAGACCCTCCTTAATGTTATATCATGGCCAGATTCTCAATCAATACCTACTTTAAAGTGATGTTTCCCAAGCCCAGCTCAACTGCACAGGGTTTGTCGATGTTCCTGAGCAGATTGGATGACTTCAGAATTGTTCAGTCTTCATTTATTCAGTATGATTTAGTATTTTCTAAACTCTATGTTCAGTATCTTCCTTTGGGGCCTTTGATTTGACTTTACAGTTTTTTTGCCCCCTTGGTCTCTTAACAGATGATTTTCAGACAGTTTCAGAAAAGAAATGATTTGTCATGCTGTTTTTCAGCTTCTGTGCTATTTCCGTTTTAAAACATAAAATAAGACATTTTAAAAATCCAGCCTTGTTCCTTCCTCAGTGGAGAGTCTAGTTCTTTCTCCCAGAGGAGGCCAATAATTCAACTGGTAGAAAGATGAGTGAGCATTAACCTGGTGCAGAGCTAGAAATTGCCTAGTGTTCCCCAGCAGGGTTGTGTACACAAATGCTATCCCCAAAGAATTGTATCACCTTCAGCCAGAAGCCTCAGAGAATTCCAGAGCTATCCTTACACTAGGGTTCAACTGCAAGGCACCATACCTAAGTTTGTGCCTAGCTCAGCAAAAGAACTCCTCGGGGTTTGTAGCCGAGGCCATTCAATATATATGACATAAATGACTATACCACAGTTTTCCAGTTTTCAAACTTAAGCATGCATGAGAATCACCTGGAGATTGCTGGGCCCACATCCAGAGTTTCTGATTTAATAGGTCTGGATTGGGGTCCAATAATTTACATTTCTGACAGCAGCATCAGGTGCTGCTGTTCCAGGGACTGCACCTTGAGAACCACTGGACTATACCAAGGTCATCGGCAATGCAGACACTTCACTAAGAAGAAAAGGTGACCTGTAGAATCAACAGGCATGCAAAGAACTCCCTAATATGCATACTAATCGAGAGTAGTGACACAGGTAATTAAAAAAAAAACCTGTTGAATGTCCAAATATTGAATATAACTTATTGTATCATTATTAATGCCAACAGAAATGAAATCTACCCACAACTATTTACTTTCTCCCATTAACTACCAAATTGAACTTATTGACCTAAATCATCCCAGAAGCCAACAGTAAGAATCCAACTGTTATTGCAGAGTGCCAACACTGAACCATAACATACCTTGGATATGTAACATATTCCTACCACTCCTCTCCAATAGCCTTCCGTAAGCCCCGAATCACCTTAAAGCCACAAATCCAGTCAGTGCGTATTCTCCTTGCTCTGCTGGTCTATTTGACACCACCCATTGCTTTCCTCTTGAAACGCTTTCTCCTTGGTTTCTCTAACATGGTGCTACTGTGCATTCTGCCTATCTTCATGCTGTTCTGAATGCTTTTGCTCCAGCTACTGTAAAATGTGGGATTCAAACCTTAGCTCTCTTTCTCAGAGCTATCATTCATTCCCACGGCTTCAGTTATAACTCCAAGGGTCTGTTTTCCAAAAGTATATTCAAGAAAATGTTAGTTCTCATGTATGTTAATAGGCAATCATTTCTAAAAGTATTTTTTGCATCATGTTGAAAAGGGATTCTCTGTTCATGTTTTTACTCCCTGCTTCCCACCCCACCAAAAATAGATCTCAGAGTCTGGTTAGTCAATTATTTAAAATGTTTGAAATTCTACAAATATATTTCAGTTTTTCACATTTAAGTTTAACAACTCAATTTTAGCCAATATTTTCACAAGGCATAGACATCTAAGCTATCAATTACTATTTTAATAGAATTATAAACAGAACACTAATAAGTATATGGATTTTATTTTTACTTTACTCATATATAATTCTTCAGAATCTTTACATGGTCATTGATGACCGCACATAAGAAATGCAGGAACATCTGACACCTTAGAGGCTATAGATAATGTCACTAATGGTCTTATTGATGAATTTGGATATTCTCATCTTGACATATAAAGATGTTATTCAACTAGCATTTCTACAATGTATAAAATAAATATATTCCATGTTGTGAAAGTACCACTTAATAAGGTTATATTTCTTATTACTCTGTGAGATTATATAAATATTTGAAAAAAATTTATGGACTTTGACGTCTCACTGATGCATCTCAAGTCTTCTTTTCCCTTACTATGTTTTTTTTAAATGTCAATTCGGCTGTTTATTAAGAAAATGTGTTGAACTCTTCCTCTAAGCTGGGACTTAATGACAGATGGTAGGAAAATGAAAATGAATAATACATACTTGCTGTCTTACAAAAGTTCAAAAGCTGGTATCCATAATTTTAAGCCAGAAGTAAACACCTTTGACATAGCAAGAATAACATCAAATTTCTCCTAAGATGGCTCCTTAGTATCAGGACCAGAACTCAGGCAGTCTGCTTCCCTTCCCCTACCACTGTCAATTCCATACCTTGAGGCCAGGTTGTCCTTTCACAGGTGGTCCTTCAGGGCCTCTTGCTTCTGGAAGCCCCGCTTCTCCCTAGAGGAAATGGCACCGATGTCTTAGCTGACCCTCCATAGACAGTATGTACACACCCACCTTGTCTCTTCTTACAGCCAGTAGTCTCGGCTGAAATCCTCCAGTACAGACCAGACCTTCACTCTAGTCTCAAAATTAAGTTGGAAGTTTACCAACTTGAATAAATTCATATCAAACTCCAGTTTAGCTCAGAGCAGCTGAAATACCATGAAAAAGTCCAATTTCCCAGCCAATTGCCAAAGCAATAAGCTCACTTTCTTTTGGCTCTTCATTCAGATTTGGTGGTTTGTTTTTTTCAAAAACAAGAAAGACCTTCAGCCTTTCCATCTGCTGTTTTCCACTACTTATATTGAAAAATGAGTATTTCAAATGTCAACTCAAAATACTTCAGGAAATCTTTATAGTAGCCTTACTTCCTGAATGCATTTACAGACTCTCCTTTTGGAGGGGGAAAAAAAAAGTGGTTTTTCTGTAAGTTTAAATAAAAGTGCTTTCTAGGAATCCCAAAGGGACTAGGTCACTGGAGGATACCACGGCCAAAATACCAGAGAGAAGGCAGAGGGTGTGAGCTACTACTCAGGCTTTGAATTGGCGCTCTTTTATCTGAACTAAGAGAAAAAGGAAATTAAGAGTTGTGGGATTTTTTTTTTTCTTGAAAAGACTAAGTTTGTCTTGAATGGTTTAATTTGAGCTTCTGCAGGACCAAGATACAGTGTGGTTCAATAGTTTTACACCAATAATATGAAAAGCTGTGTTACCTTCTTCCCTGTAGCTCCTTTTCCTCCCAGTACTCCTGGCTGTCCTGGGAGCCCGTGGATGAGCAAAGGTTTTTATTTCCCAGAAGTTCATATTTATCATGGAACTCCCCTTTGAGGTACTCGAAACTGGTCACATCTTGTAATACCTGAGAAAAGCCTATGAGCAGGGAAATCTGAATAGTAATTAATAGTCATTAAACTATTTGGCCTTGGGCAAGTTCCTTAACCTCTCTGGGTCTCAGTTTGGGGTTATGTTGTTTGTTATGGGTTACATTGTGACCGGCCCCCTCCCGCAAAAGATATGTTGAAGTCTTAACCCTTGGCACCTGTGAATGAACCTTATTTTGTAATCAAGTTAAGAGGTAATCAAGTTAAGATGAGGTAACTAGGGTGTATCCTAATCCAATGTGAGTGGTGTCCTTATAAGAGGAAAACATAATGTGAAGACAGGCACATATGGAGAACCCCCCACGTGAAAACAGAAGCCAAGATTAGAGTGATATAGCTGCAAGCCAAGGAATTCCAAGGATGGGCCACCACCAGAGGCTGAGAGGCAAGGAAAGATTCCCTATAGGTTTTAGAGGAAGTATGGCCCTGCAGACACCTTGATTTTTTACTTCCAGCCTCCAGAACTGTGAGACAATAAATTTCTATTATGTTAAGCCACAGTTTGTAGTAATTTGTGACAGCAATCCTGAAAAAAACGAATATAAAAATGAAATAAAAACATTGGGACCCAAGTATTGCTTCCAAGTCTAATATTCAATAATTCTACTCACTTTCCAGTTAATTTGTGATTAAGAACAAGTCCTTTAAAATGTTCAGAGAAAACACATGCTACTTTCAACCAGTATAGAAGTGTCCTTACTGCATTTATTAAGGGCAAAATATATTGAAAAATAATTGAAAGGCATTTCAGCTAAATTATAAAAACTAGTGAAAAAAAGCACAGTGAACCTAAAAATAAATAGAAGGATATAATAAAGATGACAGCAGAAAATAATAAACTTGCAAGCAAAGAGCAAGAAGAGTAACAAAATTAAAAGGTAATACTTAAAAATACTAAGAAAATAAACTTCTAACAGTAATGATTAATATTAAAAAGAAAAGTCATAAAAAACAGTATTAGGAATGAAAGGTGAATATAATTATATACATAGTAACATTTCTTTTGATCATAGAAAATGTCTGTGACAATTTCAAATATATTAGAAACATTAATAAATGGATAATCTTCAAGAAAAATATAAATTACATAAATGACATAAGAAGGAATGAACAAACTAAATAAACCAACCGTTAAATAAATTGAATCAGTAATTGCAAGTCTGGAGCTTCCTCTCCCTCCCAGATCACAGACTTAGTTTTACAGTCAAATCTTACCAAATTTTTAAACATCTGAAGAAGAGATATTCCCTCTCTTATACAAATAGTTCTGAAAAATAGAAAAAGAGGGAAGTCTACCCAATTTATTTTATGAGGCTAATAAAACTTTGATTTAAAAAGTCATACAACAATATAAGAAAACAAAATCACAGACCAGTCTACCTAAGAAAAACGATGCAACTTAAGGTTCTCGTCAAAATGGAGCAGTAGGGACTAGATTTAATTTCCCACCTGATGCAACTAAAAAAGCAGACAAAATATATGAAACAATGACTTTCAAGACATTAGACACTAAGTAATGAAGGATAATAATTCCTGAGAGAGGGGAAACAAAATAGGTAAAAATTACAATTTCCCAAGTTTACTGTTTGGGTAAAGTTCCCAGGCCATGGTGCAGGGAGAGAGAACCCAGGGAAACATCAGAAGTCTTTCTAATTTAAGGAGACAAAGGTAGGAGTCTGGGTAAGCCAAGGTATCAAAAATTCACAAAATAGATTACCAGAGAGGAAGGATGCCACAGTGAGAACTATGAAGATCTGCTGCGCATCCACCTTGAGTATTTAGCTGAATACTGTTCAGCACAGAGTGAAGAAACTACCGAAGGCCAAGAAAACAGCCAGTATAAAGGATCAGAGAGAACTGACAGCAGGAGAGATACAGTGCTTGCTCCCGGTGGCAAGAAAGAAAACTTCACAGTGCTGAGGGCATAGATTAGAGTTCTAAAAAGGGTCATGCCTCAGTAGTGGGGAAAAATTAACCCCAGACTAAATGCTGCTTTTGTCCCACCTAATAAAGCTTAACAGCAAGATCAGAATGCTCAAACTGTTTTCAAGTAGTATAGAAGCATCTAAGAACAAAGCTCAAAAATATTTATAGGAATGCAAAAATATCTAACACTTAAAAAGGTAAAATTCACAATGTTTGGTAGCTAATCAAAAATGATCAGGGATTAAAGAAAGCTGCAAAAACTTGACACAGAAAATGACACAGAATTCGTATATAAGAACATTAAAGCAGTTACTGTACTGCATTCCATGTGTTCAAGAAACTAAAGGAAAGTTAAAACTTGTTAAGTAGAGATATGAAAGATATAGAAGGACATAAATTGAACCGCTAGAGTTGAAAATTGCAAAGTATGAGATAAAAATACACTGGATAGAATTAAAAGCAGATTAGACATCACAGAAGAAAAGATAAACAATCTGAAAGATATAGCGATAATAAATGAAACACACAGAGAAAAGAGACTGAATAAGAATGAGCAGAGCATCTGTGAACTGTGAGAAAACTCCAAGCATTTAAATTTAAGTGGGAATTTCCTGGGTGAAGGCTGAGGGTGGGAAATATTTCAAGATATGCTAACCTAATATTTTAAAAATTTGATGAAATCAGTAACTCATAGATCCGAGAAGATCAATGAAACCCAAACGCAAGAAATATGAAGAAAACTGAACTAAGGCGCATTATAATCACATGGCTCAAAACCAGTGATAAGAGAGAAAAATCTCAAAAGTAGCCAAAGACATTATGTAGTGAAACAAACGTATAGATCACAACATAGAGCCCATGCTTCACAGCAAGAGAAGCCACTGCAGTGAGAAGCCCGCACACCACAACGAAGAGTAGCTCCCACTCACGGCAACTAGAGAAGGCCCGCACGCAGCAACAAAGACCCAGTGTGGCCAAAAATAAATAAATACATTTTTATTAAAAAAAAAAAAAAACCTACAGCAAATATCACACTTAAAAGTGAAATTTTAGGAGCATGTCCTCTGAAGTCACTTCCTTTAAACGTTGCACTGGAGACCCTAGCAGTGTAAAATGATAAAAAGTGAATAAGAAAAAGAACTAAAAAGGAAGAGGCAAAACTTTTTATTTTCAGACAGTATGGTTATGTACACAGGGAGGAGAAAAGCAAGAGACTTTACAAACAATTAGAAATAAGAGATTTTATCAGCTGGCTGGATACAAAAATCAATATATCAAAACAAAACAAGACAATAACAATAACAAAACAATACTTTTCCTATACACCTGTTATAGTTAATTGGAAGGTACAGAAAAAAAAACAATTCACAATTGCAAAAATTTCTCCAAGGTACCTTTTTAACTAAAAAAGTAGAAGATCTTTATGGATAAAATGACAAATATTTTCCTGAAAAACGTAGAGAGGTTTACTCTGTGGTTTGAAAGACTCAATATTTAATCCAAAGATTCAATGCAATTTCAAACACTCCAACAGGATATTTGTCAAATTTGACAAGCCAATTCTAAAATGTATATGTTAGAATTAAAAATAACCAGGGAAGAAGATGAGAGTATTTTCTCTGCGGATGATAAAACATTATAAATCTATCATAATCAAGACAGAGAGGTAATAGCACTGAGAGATATAAAGAGACAAATGGAGCAGAATAGAGAACTCAGGCACTGATCCTCACAAATATAGAAACTTGATATATGGCATAGGAGGTATTACAAATCAGTGTGGCAAAGATGGACTACTTAATAACTGATGCTGGGATATTTGGTTATCCATATGGGGAAAAAATAGACTCCCTACATTGCCCTATCCACAAAAATAAATTCCAAGTGTATTAAAGACCTAAATTTTAAAAAGTAAAACACGAAATTTTTCAGAAGAAAATACGTAAGAATATATTATGACTTTGGAGTCAAGAAATGTTTTTAAATAATATTCCAAAAGCCCAAACCATAAAGGGATAGAAACACATCAAAATCTAAAACTTCTATTGTATATGCTGAAAAGTACTCTAAGTGAAAAAGACAAGCCATAGTCTCAGAGATTTGCAACCCAAATAACAAAGGACTATTATCCAGATATATAAAGAACTATTGATTAATAAGAAAGGAACACCCAACATCAAAAACAAAAAAAAATCAGTATCTACAGGAATTTACAAAAGAGAAAAACCGAGGTGCATTAAGCACACAAAAACTGTTCAGTTAGTTATCAAGGAATAAAAACTGAACCAATGAGATGTATTTTTACACACTTCATACTGGCAAGAATGTAGAGAAAAGAGCATTTTCACCTGTTGCTGGAAGGAGGGTAATCTGGTCCAAACATTTTACCCATTGTTTATTTTGGGCAGGATTTTCACAGTATCAAAATTGAAAACTTGCATACTCTGTGATCTTCCAATCCTGCTAATGAGAGAAACTTGTATCCTTACAAAAGAGGAAACCCAGAGAATGTTTATGGCAGCATTGTTGGCAAATGCACAAAATGGAAAGCAATTTAAATGTCCATCAAGAGGAAAGCATAAATTTTAAATGAGGTATTCTCATACAATATAGTATCATAAAATAATTAAACTGAATGAATTAAAGGCATATAAAAACACAAATAACTAAGGCTGAGTATAAATATATTGCAGAATGATATATTATGTAAAGTTCAAGAATACAAAAAAAGCAATATATGGCTTATGCATAAAAACATATGGGAAAATTATAAAAAACTTCAAAAGAATGATAAACACCAAATTCATGATAATGATTACATCTGGGGAGGGAAGGGAGGGCAATAGGACTGGGGAGCACAGGCAGAGGCCTTCAGCTATATCTGTAATGCTTCTTCTTAAAAATTCTAGAATACATGTGGCAAAATGTTGATATTTGATAAAGCTGAGTTGTGAAATACATGGGTGTTCTTTGTTATTCTCTATAGTAGTAAGTATATTTTAAGTATTTCATTTTTTAAAATGAGAGAAGCTTAAGATTATATATCCATCTAGTGCAAGACTGGGATTTGAACTTAGGTAGTCTAACTGCCTAGTAGCCTTGTTACTCTATATGGCCTCTCTGAAATTGGCATTAGATGACATAATATGTATACATACATATATACATACTATAGACATAAATATAGTATATATATGTATATACACACATATATGTACTTAGCATATTTAGCACTTAGTACATTGTGTGATACATCAAAATCATTCCATAAATGGCAGCTATGATCACTATATTAGTACATTTTGTGTCTCTTGCAATTATATGTTTATATATATGTAAAATGTATATTTGTTTTAGACCTGTGTCTTACATATTCTTCTAATACCCAATTCTCATAAGAATCATGTCAATGACAGCAGAACAATGACGGATTTTAACGCTCAGCATGGCTTGCCAGATTCTATATGCCTTCAGGATGAGTTAAAGAAATTGTGAAGGGTGAAATAAGGATTCATTTATTTATTCAACAGCACTTATTGAGTACCTATTATGTCCCCCAAAGTGAGGATTCAGTAACAAAGAAGAAAAAAAGGAAACAAAATCCCTGCCCCAGTGGAGTACCACTGTCCAATAGAATATAAAACAAGCCACATATGTAATTATATTATTAACAGCCACATTTACACCATTAGAAGAAACAGATAAATACAATTCTAATAATATATTTTACTTACTCTAATACAACTGAAATTTTGCCATTTCAATATGTAATCAATATACAAATGTATTAATCATATAGTTTGCATTCTCTTTTTTTTTGTACCAGGCTTTGTAATCCAGAGTGTATAGTACATTTACAGCACACCTCAGTTTATACCAGCCACATGTCAAGTATTCAGTAACCACTTGCGGCTAGCGGCTGCCATACTGGGCAGTGCATTTCTAAAGGGTGTAGTAAGATGAAAAGAATTCAAAAAACGTGCAAGTTGAGATAAGTGGTAAAAAGCAAGGGGAACGAACAGTGTGCTTTTAAATAACAGTCTGGGGTAACAGTAGGGGTGGACATACTTTATATTTAGGAAATGAATTTTGAGGAAGTAACTTGAGCTGAGATCTGAAGGATGAGAAGGAGCCGGCTACAAAACAAAAGGAGGGAAGTAAACTTTACTGAAATTCTCCTATGCTTCTATAATATGGCAGGCAATAATGTTCTTAAAGAATCACTCTGTGCCAAAAGAGGATCTCTAATGCTAATAAGTAAATAAAAACATAAACAGTCATCACTAAAATAAACTAAGATTTTGGTTTTTCTTAAACTATACGAGTTAAGCATCAAATTCTTTTCTGATGAAATAACAGATGATACATACGTGACATGTATTGCATTTGGATATAAATGAAACTTTACATAATATTACATAAATGCTTCCAAGCAGCTTAGACAACCCACCTTTGGACCTTGCACTCCAAGTCCCACTGGTCCTCTAGGATCTGTAGGTCCTATCTGGCCTACTTCTCCCTAATGAGGTAAGAGTATTTGAAGAGTATTTGAATATAGCAGCAAAATAAAAATAATATATACCTACCTTTGATCTCCTAAGAGCAAAACATATCAGCAAAGTAAGATAAAACTGAGTTTCATATGCTCTATTCACATATGTGTGTGTATATGTGCATGTATCTATTCAAATATAAATGTTTCAGGCAAATATATGTATATATATTTGGAAAAGATAGGCAGTTATATTCCAGAGTAACTGAAATTGACACATGAGAAGCCAAGGTTACTGCTGATCAAAAGCAGTATCATAACCAGAGAGAACAACCTGAGCTTTCACCACTGAGCTCAAATCAGAAATCTCAAGGACAGTAACTGTATTCTATTGAGCCACTTCTCACATGGGACTCTCGAAGGAATCTACTGAAAGGGAGGTACTTTCAGAGGAGTATTTATTTAATAATGATCAGTGATTCTTTGAAGCAACATTAAGGACAGCTGGTTAAATAAGTGTCATGACTCTCCCCAAGGGATAAATAATAGTTCTAATTTAGAAGGTAATTTGCTTCCAAGTTCATAGAAAAATTTTTATTTGCCAGGTTATTTCTGACTCCATATCTTTATATTTTTATTTTTAGAAATTTATTTATTTATTTATTTTTGGCTGCATTGGTTCTTTGTTGCTGCGCGCAGGCTTTCTCTAGTTGCGGCGAGCGGGGGCTACTCTTAGTTGCGGTGCATGGGCTTCTCATTGCGGTGGCTTCTCTTGTTGTGGAGCACGGGCTGTAGGCGCGTGGGCTTTAGTTGTTGTGGTGCGTGGGCTCTAGAGCGCAGGCTCAGTAGTTGTGGCGCACGGGCTTAGTTGCTCTGCGGCATGTGGGATCTTCCCAGGCCAGGGCTCGAACCTGTGTCCCTGCATTGGCAGACGGATTCTCAACCACTATGCCACCAGGGAAGCCCCTGACTCCATATCTTTAACTAAACGTTTTGGTTGTTGGACCTATTGTGGGGAATGAAAACTAGCCAGCCCCCAGGTAACCTCTACTGATATTACTGCTTGAGTTTCTAGAACAGGGTCTCACAAGTAAAAGTAATAAAAGCAGTAAATTAAGATGGTGTAAATATAGTCCACCACCTTGGTAGCCACCAGTTCTGTGTCTGTGGATTTGAAACTGAGTCCCCATAAAATTGAGTTCCTCTGTTGAGTTTGTGATTAACCTCTCTCTCCAAAACTTTATTCCATTTCTTGTCTGCCCTGTTCCCCTTAGAATTGAGTAGTATAGAAGAAAAAGGGGGATTGAAATCAAGTAGGACCCTGTGAGGCCCTCCCAGGTACAAAAGCCCCTCCATTTCCCCCATTTTTGTTTGTAGAAAAAGGCTTTAATTTCCTGGGCCTTCCCTGAGTTCTAAGGAGCAGGCACAGGCAGTTACTAATTAGTGAAACGAGGGAATGCAAAAATGAAGAGGGCTTCCCTGGTGGCGCAGTGGTTGAGAGTCCGCCTGCCGATGCAGGGGACGCGGGTTCGTGCCCCGGTCTGGGAAGATCCCACATGCTGCGGAGCGGCTGAGCCCGTGAGCCTATGGCCGCTGATCCTGAGCTTCCGGAGCCTGTGCTCCACAACGGGAGAGGCCACAACAGTGAGAGGCCTGCGTACGGCAAACAAACAAACAAACAAACAAAAGCAAAGGAAGAAGAGTTTAACAAAAAAAGTAATGACAATAGTTCAGTGATAAAACAGAGTACTAGCTCCTCCATAAGGGACAGACATAACAATCTGATGAATATCCCTGAGTTGTTCTTCAGGAACTAAGATCCCCCTCCACCGCCTGCCTCTTGTTTATAGAAGCTTGGCATCTCTGACTCCATATTGTACCTATCTGTTGCTGCTGCTTTAACCTCTGAGTCATAAGCCTCTGCTCAGCCCTGCATGGAGACGTGTTAATCACTAAAGGGACTCAGGTTAAGATTTGTGCAAACAGTCCCTTACTCAAAACTTACCTCCCATGAGGAGATAAGGAAGTATGAACAAAAATAATGATTGTCTTATCAAGATTTATAGGAACATCGGGAACAGACTCAGGTCAACTGAAGTCAACTAACCAAGAACAAAATGTTTTCACAACCCTCCTCGGACCCTTGCTGGCGCCCAGATATCTGTGGTCGTCCTTCTTTTCTTGTTCTTAACTCCCTCCTGCTTCCCCCTTCCCTAGCATAAAAGAAACTTGAATTCTACCCCAAATTAAGATGGTTCTTTAGAACATTAGTATGCCACCTTCTTGGTTTGCTGGCTTTCCGGATGAAGTTGCTTTTCCTCTCCCCAACACTGTGTCTCTTGACTTACTAGCCTGTAGTGCAGCAAGTGGTATGAGCTTGGACTCGGCTGCAGATTCAACCAATCTTGGATGGAAAATATTCAAGGAAAAATATTCCAAAAATATCCAAAAGAAAGACCTGAATTTGCTGCATGCTGGCAAATATTTACATAGCATTTACATTGTATTTGGTATTAGCAGTTATCTAGAGATGATTTTTAAAATACAGGAGGATGTGAGTAGGTTATATGCAAATCCTACACCATTTATATAAAGGACTTGAGCATACTCAGCTTTTGGTATAGGGAAGGGGTGGGAGTGCTGGAATCAACCTTCCAGCAGATACTGAGGGATGAATGTAAAAGCTTCTAAGAGCATAAAGAATACATATAACATTTTCTAAACCATTAGGAATGCTAGTACATTTTACATTAAATAGAGGTCTCTCATTTTTAAGTTCATTTCCTCTGCTGCCTTCCAAATATACTGGCCACTGACCAGAAAACAACAATCAGAATATAGATAGATTAAACTCTTTTCTCATTTAGAAAGTTACCTTGGGACCAGGTGAGCCTTGTCCTGGGGGCCCTTGTCGACCAGGTGGACCAATAGGACCTTGGATTCCCTTTAAAATGAAAATTTAAAAAATAATATTAGTGAAATTAAGAAGAAATTTAAATAAGAGTAGTTTCAAATCTTCTAAAGTAAAAGTTTAGTTTACATCCCATAATTGATTACTTATACTCAATTAATACTTGTTGAATGGGTGGCAGAGCCTGCTAGTAGAACCATAATATGCATTCTACCATTCTTCCATAGTAAGAGAATTTTTAACTGGCCTGCATGGCTGCCTAGAGTAAAGACCATATTTCCTAATCCCTGGTGCAGCCAGGTGAACTGGATGCTGGCCAATGGGATGTGAATGAAGTGATCTGGGCAATTTCTGGTTCATGCTAAAGGAAGGATATGCCTTTCTCTTTCCTTGTTCCCCTCCCCCTTGCTGAGGTGAAGACATAGTTACTATCCTGGATTATGTGGATGAGAAAAGCACCCTTGGAATGTCAGACTAACAAGAATGAAGAAGCCTGAAACTCTGAATTCCCTGACGAATGGAGCCAACACGCCAGCTTGGAGTTTTAAATAAGAGAAACAAAAATTCCATCTTATTAACCTATTTCACCTCAGTCACATGCAGGCAAACCTGTATCCTAGCTGTACCAAGCAATATCTCTCAGGATGTGAAATTGAAAATTTGACCTAGGCTCTAAGAAGCGATAGCCTGCAAACACCAAACTGAAAAATGGTCTAATACTTGACTCTCATTCACGTTGTGTGTATAAGAAGGGAGAAGAGACAGGATGTAGTAAGGTCTTTCGAGAAAATAGTCTCATAAAGTGTTTTCCTTGGAGAAAATGGAAGGGGTTTGGCTTGCTTCTCTCTTTCCCACATTCTAGACAGGGAACATGAATGAAACGACTTGGAGACCTTGATTTTTATTTTTGGAACACAATGGACCTGTGTCTGACTCGTGCCTGAGAAAGTTAAAATGGGCTGTGATAGCCAGCAGAGGTCTGGGGTGGGATCAGCCTGTGCATCCAGAGTTTGTCAGTGCAAAGGACACACGAGTTTTCTTTCCTGTGGCCCAGATGTACTCTGGATGCTTGGAGTTGACCTGGAACTGCTTTGAATCCTGTCCAAGAGGACCTACAAGAGTAATGGAACTCCAACAGAGAGAGTCAGTATAGAGGAAAGCCCCAGAAAAGCAGAGGCTGATGGGGAGAAACAGCTGGAGGGAAAGA